AAAAAAAAAAAGTTTTTTCTTTAAAATCTAATTTCTAACCAAATATTAATGCTGGTCATTTTTTAAAAAATTTTCACTAAAAATACATTTTCTATCACTTTCATAATTAATTATCATTGATCAATTTTGTTTAGTGAATTTGCTATTTATCCAGTTAAGCAACTGAGCATTTCATTTCAATTTCAACATTAATGTCGAAATATTTGCTCTTTTATTCTGAGCTTTGCTCTTTCTGATCCAATTTAACTTACAATTAATCCATTAGTCATCACAAATTAAATTTCATCCCTTCTCCTCAGTGCTTTCTTCTCCATTTATAAAAAATTTCGATTTCATCAATTTACACGATAAGGAAGTGAAATTTGAAGTTAGCATATGTGTTAATTAATTAACTAATATAAAATAATTATTTAGCTGTGACAAATTCATCTTTTTTCTCTAAAAAACTTCATTCAATTTTTTGAACAAAAGAAGAAAAATATTGGGAATAAAAAAAAAAGTTTTACTTCATATTCAATATTTAAATTTCTTTTTGCTTCGTCACTTTTTTGTTTATTTTTATTTTTTTCTTCAAATTACCGATTATTTTTACTTTTGTTGTTGTTGTTTTTTTTTTGCATTATGACATTTTTTCAACTTTTTACTTAGCAACAACTGCAACGAATTCAAAAATTAAAGAACAGAGGAACATGTTATGAGGTGTATTTAAAATATATTGCTAACTTTTGATTAACATTTCTTAACACTGCTGATCATATCATGTAATTGTATTTAATTAGTTTAAGTTTTACTCAATAAATCTTTTATTTATTGAACAAATATACAATTTGTCTAAAAATTCCTTTTTTGATTTAAAATTTTAATCTCATTCCATTGAGAAATTTGAATTCGATCATTTCTTTTTCACGGCAGAAAATACAATTCTTGCAGCTAATGCGCTTTAAATTCTCCAATATAAATTTCCTTGAATTTTAAAAATTAAAATTCTAAAAAGTACAATTGTTAAGATAGCATGAACTTAACATCCAAAAAGAGAGAAAAAATGTTATGATAATATGTAAAGATTATCAATGATATTTTAGTGTTAATTTGCGGAACACCTAATGTGAACGTTTCATTGTTCTTTGATTGATATTTCTAAATACAAATCCAAATTATTTAATTTTCATATAAATTCAAAGAATTCACAAAAATGATGAGTATGAAAAAAGTGAATGAATTTTTTTGCAATGAAAAATCAATAAATAAAACTTAAATTTAATATTTAAGAAAATATCTCAAAAATGAAAGAAGAAATGAAAGAGAATTCACGATCATTTATCCAAAAAAAAAGAGAGAGAGAAAAGTATTTACGAAGTAAGCACAAATACATTCATAAATATGAATATATTTTCTTCTTTCAGTAATAAAATTTATGAAAATGCTGCGTGAGTAAAAAAAAAAAAACCATCTGAAAAAAAAATTGTTAGCAATATTATTTTGAAATTTTTTTCATTCCACCATTCTATGCAATATTTTTATTTCTCCATGAAGGCAATAATTATTTGTGTAAAATTGAGATGGAATATTATTATATCAGCTGCTTCCTTCCTTTAAATCAATCTTTTTTATGATTACTCATTTCTTCTCAAATTCATTTTTCCCCTTTCATTAAACTTCTTCAAATGATTTTTTTTTTACCTCAAAAAGAGAAAAAATTTCAAGCAGAAAATTTCTGATGCTAAAAGATGGTTGCAATGTAAAATTGATAATATGAAAATTTTGTATAAAAATAATTGTTATGCTGGAATAAATTTATATTATTCCTATCTATTTTAATTTCAAAAATAAGTGAATTTTCAGGAATTGATCACCATTTTTATTCAATTTTTTTATGCTATAAAATGAATATTTAAATGATTTTTGTTTTGATTTTACATGAGTTTTATAAAACAAATATTATGCAACATAAAAAGATTGGCTAAATTTGAAATTTTTAAAATATTCTAAAATTCGCATTTTTATTTATTAGTGATATTATCAAAGCATTGAAATAAAATTTTCAAATTCATTTATAATATAAAATTAGATGAATTTTTGATATACTTTAGATAAATTTTTGATATAGGTGAAATAGTTTATTAGTAATCACTTTTTTTATTCCGTATCGACGATATTTCCTGATATTTTCATCCGATAAAAGCGGAAATTTTGCTATCTTAATAGTGAAAGATACTGTAGGGTGAATAGTACGGTAGGCGGAAAAGATATGACGAATGTGATAAATGGCTATATACTATATCGGCTTATGGTTGATAGAAACAACAAAAGCACAGATTCACGACGGCATAGTTTAATGCCTATTTCAGAGGGTCAGAAAAGTTATGTTTCTCAATCACCACACAAATCACTTTTCGGTAAGACTCAATTTAGGCCAATTGCATTGATAGCAATTATTTGCTTGATATTTGTAAATTTATTTGTTTCCAGGTGAACTTTCTAGTAATTGTAAAATTTTCCGATTCAATAACCTCTACAGCTAGTAATTGTAAAATTTTCCAATAATTCAATAATTTTCATTTTAATCATTTTTCAAAAATTAGCTCAAATTATTTCCTTTCAAATTTATCTATTAATAAGCAAAAATATAAAAGAATTCAAATTTTTGAATAATTTTTTCAAAATTTTTAAATGCTTATTTTTAGAACCATTCAGCTTGCCAGTAGTTCAACATATACCTATCAGGCAGAGGTTAAGTTCAACTGGACATGACAGCTTAAGTGGTAATTTTTATGATCTTTTCATTTGCATAAATTTTCATCAAAATCATAAATTTGGAATGAACCAATAAAACTATAAGTAATAGTTTATTAATAAATAATTTTTAATTTGGTAATTAGATTTGAAGATAAATAGTTTAACATCAACCTATGCTATCATACAGATATATTGAGTTCGATCAAAGAATTTGATAAATTTAAATTTTAATTTTAAATAAAGAAAATGCTCCCCTTATAGCCGATATATGCAGTGATTTGGATCAATCATTGGTTGTTTCTTCTAATCCATATTTCTATCGTCGACGACGAATGTCATTGTTGCAAACGTTAAGATATCAAAATAGATTGCTAGCAGATAGTGGAGTGGAATGTCGTAGTCAGCAATCGGATCGAGGTTAATTTTATTGATCTTTTTGATTAATATAATAATAATGTTAACTTATGAATAATTTCATTATCAGCATCAATTATTAACATTTAACAAAGATCGATGATGTATGATTTAGCAATTAATAAGTAATCAATAACAACTGATAACGAAATTTAAGAAACAGCAACAAATGTTTTAATTTTTTATCATGAAATTTATAAATAAAAAATATTTTTGCATAGGATTGAGATATTTTTTAAATTTGTATAAAAAGATTTTAGGCAGTGAAACAGCAAAAGGTCATCGATCAAGCTTTTCATCACCATTTTCATCTTCAGTAACAAAAGATTCAAAAGGAAGCTCTTCTATTATGAAACTGAGAAATAAGTATGAATTTATCAGATTGTACAAAGTTTTTTTTTTTTTTTTTTGAACTCTTTTAAATACTGCAAGCAACATATTTCCTTTCTATTTATATGCTTTTTCAAGGACATTTGCATTTTTTGGAAAACGTTCATCAAAACGAAGTCAAACTATCGATGATCAAATTTCCAGTGATGATTGTACAAAGTATTGTCAGACTAATGAAAACGATCAGCCCATTTATTCTTCCATTGATTTAAATGCAAAAGGTTTATTTTACAAGGTATTTAAAAAGAAACATGTGAAATCAGTTCGCTAATATTTTCATTCTAACATTCTCTAATTTAATAAAATTCTTGAATCTCAAATATTTAAAATTTATTCGTTGGTCTTCATATTGTTATACTTCCGCTATCGATATTACAGAAATTCGACATGGCAAATCACCATCAACGAATGATAGCGGTCATGAAAGTCAAGGACGAATTGTTACCGATGAGGAATATCAGGATGATAAGAGTGGTCTATTTTGATGTCGTAAAGCTAATCATCCATACCAATCATTTTAATCTAATTAGCTTTTTAAGATTGTTACATTTTCTAGCAGACTATTTTTGAGAATTTATTAGCAGAAGATTGATAAAACAGCATATTGAAATCATCTATTGAAAATATTTCGATGTCATCTTCTCATTAATCACTCTTATCAGTAATTGATAATGATAAGAAGTGATGGACAGAATAATAATAGAAACGATTGTAACTTCGAATATCATAAAACATACTATAATGTTAACACTACACTACATTTCATTAAGCTAATTAATTAGCGTGAAATAATTAATTAATTAGCTTAATAGAATATGTATAAATATGTATAAATTCGTTTACAATATAAATAAGAATCATTTATATTTAGGTGATTGTTGTAATAAACAGCAGGAAACTGTGGCTGTAATTGAACAATCATCGGGAATTCATTCCGAAACAAGATTAAAGATTGTAGGTCAACACAAATGTTCAAATTTAATAAGAAGCTGTGAGTTTTATTTTTTTTTTAAAAAAAAAAAGTATATTTACAAAAATATTTTTTTTTTTGATTGAAAATTATTAAAAGTTGAGGAAACTTTTTCAGACTTCAAAGAAATGGGAATACTTAAAAAATATTTTATTCCATATTTATCCTTGTACAAATCAGTTATTTCAAATGAAAAGTTCAAATGTTCTAACCTATTGTAGCATTCATTATGTGACATATAATGGATATAAAGTATTTGGTGACAAAAATTAGCCATTTTTGTTTGAGTTAAATCAATTAATATAGCTCTTAAAAAATTGTAATTTTTGCTTTTAAAAATTCAGAGAAGTTTGAGATATTTTAATCATTCGTTTAAAATTTCCATTGATTTTTCTTTTTTCAACTGTTTGTTTACATAAAATAAGGCATTGTATTTTGTATTATTTACATTATCATGCCCTCAACTTGGATTGAATCTGCCAATTTATCATGAAATATGCCGTCGAGCAATATCAAATCGACAGGAATTCATTTTGATAGATGATTCGGATAGTGAGGAAGATATTGAAGACAGTGAAGCCTTCATGGCTATCATCGAGAAATCATTCGTTCCTGATAAGGTTTATAATTAATTGTTCTTAATTTTACTCTCATCAACGGTTTACTCTTTTATTTGATGTTGTATAAGACATTTTTCACTTTTTTCATCTGAAATTGGCAGAGAATGATAGTTCATAGTTCTAGTTCATAGTTCTAGATTATAGTTCTAGTTCATAGTTC